AAAGTTATTATAACTTTTAAACCCACGGTGGTAATAATGGTCTCGAGATTAGGCAACAGCATATTTAACTAAAGATGTGAACACATTAACAAAAAGCAAAGAAGCAGAGATGACAATACTACAAAGGATATGAGATTAGCAATTCGGTTTCAAATATGGCTGTCTTTGTCTAGGCTAGCTTTACGTGGTCAGGAAAATTAAATCATAACAATGACCTCACAGCACTCACACAGCAGCATCGAGATCATTAGGCGTTATCTCCCCATAAACTTTTAGCAGCGTTTCTATTGCTATTGCCTGGCTCCTTCCGGTTGTTTTTCATTCACACCCCTCTTGTCAGGGTAGATAATATCTAATATGTTAACACCTAGCCTTCTCGGATAAGGGTGAAAAATGTTTGAGGTAACGTTTCTACCAAACGGAAAAAACAATGTTGGTGGTGACGTTTCTGCCAAACGGAAAGTGACAAATTAATGTGTCAGGCGGGTTTTATGACCTTTTGCAGTTGTGAGTGCCATAAAGCAGTTACTAGACATAACAAACAAACAAACAAATAAATAGAAAATATGGAGTAAGCCTTCACTTCACCATAGCATTAACTTTCATTTTGGAGATGGTGTAAGATCCATCTTTGATATAGCTTTGAGAGAGTGTCAACACCAATTGTGAGGCAGCGTGGTGGAATCAGGCTCTCGTCAATTTTTGAGGCTTGTTCACTTGTCTTTACTTGGATGAAAAATACATCTATTTATCTTGAATACAAGTTGAGATATTTGCCAAAGAATGAGGTGGGGGGCACTTGTTTTCGGAGGTAAAATTAGTGGGAAAATGGCCACCAAAGATTACTTATTTATTTAACATACGAGTCCGCGGTAACTGAAACGATTTTCAGAAAATCAGAAAAATCCACACAAAAATGAGTTCTTAAATGGGCATGAAAAGTGTTGAGCCTAAAAACAACAATTTGATAAAAAATCAGGCTTGGTCACAGAAACAATTTTATTGGTGGCTCATGCCTGCCTTTAGTGTACACCTGTTTTATTTATGTCACGTGTACGTGACTTCTGTTGTGTCTGATTAATTTATTATCTAACTGCAAATCGATTAATCGTTGAACTGTAAGGGGAAATAGACGCGGAGACCGTAAAACTGTCCTTGATTTTTTTCTATTGTTATAGTGTGGCCATTTAGTGGTACGTATTCTGCATAATTGCACTCATTTTAAATGTTTTGCTTAATCGTATCGTCGAAACTGACCAAAAATAAATTATTCATTATTATTCAATTATTCATGATTGGTTGTCATCGTGAATAAAGACTATAACTGCTGCACGCGTTTCCCGACAGGTTGGAGACGCCAATGCCGACCATGCCCAGTGGCAGCCTCCAGAGAAGATGACCACATCCAGAACCTGTCAGTACATCACCAAGGGCACCAAGGGAAGTGACGTAGCCGGAGCGACGGCCGCCTCTCTGGCTCTGGGATACCTCATTTTCAAGAGCAGCAGTTAGTAGTGGCATAATTATGTACAATCTCTCTCTCTGTCTCTGTCTATCTCTCTGTCTATCTCTCTCTCTCTCTCTCTCTCTGTCTCTCTCTCTCTCTTTCTCTCTCTCTCTCTCTCTCTCTCTCTCTCTCTATCTGTCTGTCTGTCTCTCTTTCTTTGTGTGTATGTGTCTCTCTCTATCTCTCTCTTTCTTTCTCTTTCTCGGTGTGTGTGTGTGTGTGTGTGTGTGTGTGTGTGTGTGTGTGTGTGTGTGTGTGTGTGTGTGTGTGTACGCGTTTTATATAGTGCCTGTCTATCTGTTTTAGTGTTTTCTAAAGTTTAGACGAAGAAGATTAAGCAATTTTACACTATGTGAGAGGACTGGGGAGTGCGACGGCCACTGAGTCTTTCACCTTCTTCAGAAACTGTCCATGTACGCGTATCCCCACCCCCACCCCCCACCTCATAGAGTGCATTTTAAGGTAAAATAAGTGTATATCAAATCTTAATTGCAAATCGATTTAAAAGTTCGTTGAACTGTAAGGGGAAATAGACGTTGAGACCGTAAAACTATACTTGATCCCCCCCCCCCCCCCCTGTTATAGTGCGGCCATTTGGTGGTACGTATTCTGCATAATTTCACTCATTTTAAACGTTTTGCTTAATCGTATCGTCGAAAATGACAAATAATGACCAACAGTTATCGGAAAGGAAATGTGTTTTCTTTTGAAGGTTAACATCTTGGACTGTTCATCTAAATATTCTTAAATATGAGGGAGGAGTGTGAAGAGGGTTTTTTCTTTTACAGTTAAATTATCATGAGCAGGTCATCGTTTCAACAGGTTTGTGTGCATTACTCCCAAAAAGGACACAGGACAACAACAATGTTTGACTTCATTACCCCACCAAAAAGGACAGAAATCAATTACCAAAATGGTTTGACTGTATTACCCCAAAAAAGGATAGAGGATAATATTAGTACCAAAAAGGTTTGACTACATTACACTAAAAAAGCGCAGAGGATAATATTAGTACCAAAAAGGTTTGAGTGTATTACCCCAAAAAAGGATAGAGGATAATATTAGTACCAAAAAGGTTTGAGTGTATTACCCGAAAAAGGACAGAGGACAAGCACACAAAAAAGGTTTCAGTGTATTAGAACTAGTAACATGCTGCGACTGTTGTCCTAACGCACTGTAAAATAAAAGCCACACCTGACTTCTCCCCCCCCCCCTTTTCAGACGCTCCCTACGCCAACAGCTGCCTGAACAAAGCCAAGAGCCTGTACAGCTTTGGAAAAAGTAACCGAGGAATCTTTTACGGAACCTCTCCCTTCTACAGGTAAGCCAACTCTTCTCCAGTTGTCGCACTGTATCACCGTGTGCTTTTTGCTTAAGGTCTTGTTGCTCAGAACTCCCTAGACACAACTGTTTTAAGAAAAAATAACTTGTGTAGGTATTTTGTACGCTCACACCAACAGAGTTTAGGCCATTTAAGAGGTGGGCTGAGAGGTGGGCATTTGACGATCTTTTGATGAAAAAAATACACGCCTATCTTGAACAAAAGTCGAAATATTTGCGATTGAAGGAGGTCGGAGTCGCCATGTTTCAGAGGTAAAATATAATGGCCGTCAAGGTCCGGTGATTTCCAAGGCTTGAGAGGCCTTGGAAACTGATAATATCCATATTTTTGTACCTTTAATTAATGTTTTTCAGTAAAGTCCACACACAAATATGTTTTTTAAATGGAAATAAAAGGCGTTCAGTTAACTCCCCCCCCCCCCCAGTAATTAAAAAAAAAAAGTCAAACTGAAGAAAAAATGACGATATTCATCTCTGATTTCAATATTTTGACGAGCGCCTGATTCCATCAGGATGCCTCACATTAACATTTGTTCTGGAGGTTTTGAACCCAAGCAAGATGACTAAACAACCCCCCCCCTTTCTCCTACAGCTCCGGCTCTGACGAGGACGACCTGTGTTTGGGTGCCCTCTGGCTCTACAAGGCCACTGGAGACTCGCATTACTTGAACGACGCCAAATCTTTCCACAACGGAATGGGACCCTCCTGGGCGCAGAGCTGGGACGATAACAAGCTCGCCTGCAGGGTCAGTCCAAGTGGCAATAATAATAACAACAATAATAATAAAATTATAATAATTGAATGACAATAATAATAATATAATAACAATAATAATAATAAAAATAATAATACTATAATAATATAATAATAATAATAATAACAACAACAATAATAATAATAATAATAATAATATAATAATACTATTACTACTACTACTACTGCTACTACTACTACTACTACTACTACTACTACTACTACTACTACTACTACTACTACTACTACTACTACTACGACTACGACTACTACTACTACTACTACTACTACTACTACTACTACTACTACTACTACTACTAAAAATAATAATGATAGATTTGGTGCTCATAGAGCATGGTGTTAAGCGTAAATATGAGCACTATAAATGAAGTTATTATATCATTATGATGATGATTATTATTATACTCGTGAACGACACACACACACACACACACACACACACACACACACACACACACTCACACATATACACACACATAATATATTACATATTATACACGCACACACATGACACTCACACAGACGCGAACACACACACACAACACACAGGAGACACACATACACACACACACACACACACACACACACACACATACACCCACACACATGCCCACATGACCCACACACACATGCACACACACACACACACACACACACATCACACATACACACATGACACACATACACATGACACACACGCACACACACACACGACACACACACCACACACACACACGACACACATACCGTAACCTCTCTGCTGTTCCCTACAGATCCTCCTGCTGGAAGCCACCCACGACAACAAATTGAAAACTGAAATTCAGAACGATCTGAAACCCTGGGTTGAAAAGCACATGACTTACACTCCATGTGGCCTTGCCTGGAAACTCGAGTGGGCTCCCACCAGATACGCAGGTAGTTATTATGTATAGGGATTGGAATTTGGCTTTCATCTTGACATTATATTTATTATATTGACCAGTTCTATCACAGACATACTTTAAATTCGGAAGTCTCGCCTATTACATAGCCTACTACAGTTTATATGGGAATTAAACCCATATTTTATCTGCTTACTTGGAATGCTGACTTCGACTTGGATAAGTAAGGGCGGCGTGGAAAGGAACTGGCCACCCTACCACAATATTATGCCAAAGGCCAAGGAAGTTGTCTCGCTAACAAGGCAATCCCCAATTTCAGGATCAGATGCGGGAACAATTTTCTTTACTTTACTTGGCCGGCATTGACCATAATTCCCAATGACAAGAATCATAGTTGAGAAAAGGTCAACATTCTTCCAGTCCTCAGCTCTCCCTAGTTTGCTTCTTTTTTTCTTCCTCTCGTCCCCAATACTGATTGTACTGTTGTTCTTTTTAGCGGCACAAGTCTCTCTCTCTCTCTCTCTCTCTCTCTCTCTCTC